TTGAATTAGAAAAATAATATTATTTAATAAAAACAAGCATAGTATTTCTAAGTTTTAAGTTAATGCTGTTACTTAGCCACTAGGCTATGCTAAAGTATAATCCATTTGTGCAAGAACACTTCTATATTCCAGCTACACAAAGAAAGCAGAAAAATAAATTCAAAAGCTGGATGTGAATCATTTCACCATTCGAAATCTACCTGGTAATTGTTTAACAGATTCATCTAAGAGTAGTTTCTGTAATTAGTTTATACAACATAATTCAAATGAATAAATAAACCCAACTTTTTGCTAAATATGTCTTGTGGTAATACCTAATTTGATTTTAAAAGGAGGGAATCATCATTATGCTTACTTTATCCAAATTAAATATCTATTTTCAATTGCATGTAGTTAATCCTACTTCAAAAAAACTATATAGTCATAAACTGGTTAGCTATTACAAACGTAAGCTTTAGGTAAGATATATTTTACTTTCTGCTTTAAAAAAAAGAGTATGCAACAGTTGAAAACCAAACACCTTTTATTTCAATTATTTTAGGAATTTTTTATAGTAAAATTATACTCTGTTCCCTATAAATCTTTTAAGTTTCAACTTATGAATGCAGCTTACTCTCGTTTTCATTACTTTTTCCTTTAAACCCTAAGGAGCACACTATTATCATGATTTATATTAATACTATCCTTGATTAAACATTATGTGAGGCATTAGAGATTCAAATAGGTCTATGAAACTTACAGAGCAGTTGGGAACTCATACAAAAATATAGATAATACTGACAGAAGTATTTAGGGACAATATAGGGGCCAAGTATAAATGATAAGTGAATAAAACAGAGAAAACATGTTAAAATAGTTCACGTGAGAGAGAGATAATTTTTGGCCACATTATTAAAAGAGATTAGGTTTTTACTACTTTAGTCCCAAAGGATTTCAACTTAAGTGCTCTGAAGATAGAAATGAATAAACCTCCAATTTATTGTTTAATCTACTTAATAACTCTATCTATAAAAGGAGTTTGTCATATTTTAAAGATAAATTAATCTTTTTCTAAACTTGGCTTCTCTCTTTTTAAATTATTAATTATTCATCTGTTAATTATTTATTATAGGATGAATTATTGACAGAACACAATCTACTCCCAAAGCAAAATGCTATTAATCTACTATTCCTGTTATATTATTGCTTTGGTGTATTACAGAGTACTTTGAAGAAAAAAGTTAGTTGACTTTCTTTCTCTTCTTAAATGTAATTAAGGGCAGCAAAATTCATTTACCTCAGAAAAAGGCAAATATAGTTGTACTGTGGTGAAACCTTGTTTTCCCATATATATCTATAAACAGGATTGATATCCAAAATATTTAAAACACAGGCACTGAGAAAACAGAACAGATGCTTGTGGAAAAGCACTTCTAACTGTCCCTGCCCACAGGGATCAATACCATTACAGAAATGCTGAAAACTTTTACTTCTGGTAGATTACTCTAATATTACTATTAAAATAGTTTTTACTGAGCCACTGTTATGAAATATCATATTCTTAAATAACACACTAGCTCAGCAGAACAGCATCAGAGATATTTTCAGTTCTAAAATTCCTTCACTTTGCATACCATGAACAGTAGAGATACCTTAATATCTGGAAATGCCTGTCAGTATCTCTAAGCAAGGGCAGATAATAATAGATGTGGCTGGGATATGAAGCATTCCTGGTCTGAATCCTTTAGTGAGTTCCTGAGATTTATGAGTTAAATTGAGAGACTATGATGCATCTTCTTTAGAATTCTCCTTCACCTGTAGTCTTGGGCAGAAGTCAATTGCAGGGCCACTCTGGGGCCTCTAATTTAGTCAAAGATGTGATAAAAACAAATTCCCCTTCAGTGCAAAGGAGTGATCTTCCTCCCAATCCCAAATCAATCCTTGTAAGGGAGCTAGATTGTCCCACCTGCCCTGGAATATTCTAAACCAAGAAACTGCCAGATTACAGCAAGGATTTCTTCCCACAGGCGCTAAATGCTGCAGAACTTGTCCTATGCCCAACTCCATGTTCAATCTTTGTTCCTGAGCCAATCTGAAGGCTCCAAGGGTATTCACTGTGGTGCTGACCATGAGTAAACTAAGAACTGTCTTGGTGTCGTGATACACAGGCTCCTGTTTTGTTTTGTTTTTTTAAGGAATTTATTTTTTAATTGAAACATTGATTGTACATATTTATGGGGTACAGAGTTATATTTCAATACACATGAACAATGTATGATGATCAAATCAGGGTAATTAGTATATTCATCATCGACTGTACATATTTATAGGGTACAGAGTTATATTTCAATGCATGTATACAATGTGTGATGATCACATCAGGGTAGCTAGCATATTCATTATCATAAACCTTAATCTTTTTTTTTTGTGATGAAAACATTTGATCTCTCTTCTAGCCATTTGAAAACATACGTTAAATTATTAATTATAGATGCCTACCTAGCATTACTCTACACTACTAGAACTTATTTTTCCTATCTAGCTATAATTTTATTGTGCCATTCATCAAAAGAAAAAGAGACTAAATACTAGTGGAGAAATAACTGCAGTTCCTGGAACATACTGTGTTCTTTTATATCTAACTCTAGACTTTACTAGTCTCTAAGCACTTTAGAGCACCTGCACTAACTCTCTAGTCTCAAAATGTTCCATGCCAGCTGCACGGAACTTACCATCAGCTGAAAGCCCTTCCAGGACTCCTGCCTTTGAATATGCTATGCCCTGAGATGGCAATGACCTTTCTCCCCACTGTCTACCTGCTGAATTCTTCCTCCAAGTTTCATGTCAAAATCCAGGTGTCTTGTGAGACTTCAGTTGATTATCCCCAGCTAAAACCAGGTATTCTTTCCACCAGGTTCTCATTTCTGTCTTAGAGCAATTATCACTCACAACTATAATTACTTGTATACAAGTCTGAATCCCTGACTAGCCAGTTCTACAGGCCTGCGATGGTATCTCATTAAGGGTTGTCCATGAATGAGAATTTTCATCAATATGTGCAACATATGCTTGCTTCATAAATTAACGGTGAGCAGGTAGACAGGTGAATGAAGGAACCCAAAACATTAAATCCCAGGAACTCCATCTGCATTATGAGCTGAGTCATAATTAGACTTTAGTTTGCATTACTACATTAAAGATGCCCTAATGTAGGCTACCCCAATTATGGTTCCCTTTCCCAGAGCCTGCCCTCTGAGATACATTCCCTTCAGTGAGGCCTGTTCTGACACTGCACACACTGCCCATCCAAACCAAGGAAGTGATACGGTCCTTAGTGCCATTGCAACTATAGGATATACACTTGGGTTGCCCCTGCCCAGACCCTGACTTTGTTTTCCCTAATGGTTGTCCAAAAAATCCTCCTTACCTATTGATTCATCAGTTATCTCCTACCTGATGATGGTGATTTAAAGTGCTCTAAAGTGCTTAGAGACTAGTAGAGTCTAGAGTTAGACATAAAAGAACACAGTATGTTCCAGGAACTGCAGTTATTTCTCCACTAGTATTTAGTCTCTTTTTCTTTTGATGAATGGCATAATAAAATTATAGCTGGATAGGAAAAATAAGTTCTAGTAGTGTACAGTAGTGCTAGGTAGGCATCTATGATTAATAATTTAACGTATGTTTTCAAATGGCTAGAAGAGAGGAGATCAAATGTTTTCATCACAAAAAGACCCCTCTCCTTACAGGAATACACTTTCTTAGACTGCTGTTTGTTGCTAAACTCAGTGTAAGCCATATTAGCAACTGCTTTTCTCCTTATTAAGAAAAATGGTCACATTCTTTTCTAATGGCTAACACCCCATGCTGAGATTGGACTGGAGTAAAAGTGTTAATCTGAGAAAGACCTAGATTTTTGAAAAGTCATTTTATCGTATTCAAGAGTTCAGATCTACTTCCTCACCAGCTACAAGAGAAAAAAAAAAAAAAGACCTTGGCAGAGATGAAGGCTGACTCTGACACACGGCAATCCCTGGGATACACTCACACACTCTTACCTCTCCTGTCAAAACAGCCTTCTAGGTTATACTTGACTCATCTTTTAGCTTTTATATGTTTTATGTAATTTTCAGTATTTCTGAGGATCTGAATACTAGGCTTATTTCAACTATTACTTATTTTGAAAACTATTTCTTAGAAGTTATCTTCATACATCAGCATTTTTTATTACTATGACTGATGTGCAATACCAAAGACTATCAAACCAATATTTTGTCAGCTGCAAACAATTTTATTAACTAAGTATCCATGTGTCTAGCTATAAAGGTGTCTATGGGTCTAAAAAATTAAGGAAAACAACCTATGTAGGTCAAGTTTTTTGAGAAAACTCCATGTGAAAACCTGATACACTGGTTTTCCCACTAAACTGACAAAAAATATACCTTGAAATTTGTGGAATATACTATAAAGCATATGTACCTCACAGGGCCTGGTTTTCCAAAGCATTGCAGTTTCAAATATTGACCTTGTGGAGGACTGGAAACTTTCCTCAGGCTATAAAGTCTCTGGTGTAAGATAAAGATTTGTGGCACAGCACGGTTGCTGGCTCAAGACAGACTTGTTACTGATTGTTATGTAAAGATACTGAGAAATTGCTGTAAGATCACTTAATTGTCTAATGGAATGTCATTTGACTTGTTTCACTGAAAGTGTACCAGCCTATATTGTTAAGCTATAACCCCACCTATGTTCTCTTCCTGTAACTTCCTGGTCTGGAAAATAAATGCAGGAAGAGAATCCCAATTCAGGGTTAATTTCCCAAGGAAGGGATGCCTCCTGCTTGAGGGTTCCAGGGGAGATTAACCACTTCGGGGCTTCTCACTGCTCAGAAGAAATGGGCTTTGAATAATGCTTTGTGGCTCCATCACCCAGGGGAAGTGGGGTGACAAATCCATGGGGAGCAAAGCAATAGAAATTAAATCCAATAACTCAGGGGGAAAACATCTCAAATACACACTTACCCACTATGCTTCATATGTGGTGGCTTATCCATTCGCACTGCCAGTTTGATTTTTAAGTCAGAGTCCTGGCTATTTTTTGGAACTACCATTCGGTGTAATTCAGCTGACTTGGAGCTATTAGAAGTTGGGTATAATATCACCTGTAAGAAACAAAAACAAAACATTTAAGTGCATGAAACAGAGTGTCTATGGATTGGAACTGAAATACTTTCTCTGTGTTTTCCTGTTTGAAAAGAAGGCATCAATGCCCACATATATCTAGTAAACTATTTGACTCCCACTCACTACAGTAGATGGATTTTCAATACAGACTCATTTATTTTTTGACAAATAGGTGTTTTCATATTATCACATAATGAGTTTTCTTCCAGTGTCACTTCATAATGAATTAATAGCACAACAAGCTGCAGTTGAATCGACAGTTGAAAAATACATAATGGACACATAATTTCAAGAATACTCTACACTCCTCAGGGCAAAGAAGTTCAGAAAGAAATCTTGAAGATTATACATAACATGCTTAAAAAGCAAAACCAATTATTTGAAGCAGCACAAACATGCCTCATGTTTTAATATTTTCATTATAAAATAGTATTAAAGGAAATCAACTCAATTAGGGATGGAAAAGGTTGACCACAGCACATTTTCTGCTATAGATCAATACCAAAGAAGAATTTTTTTCCTGACTACATGTTTTCAAAACTATAAAGATGATATTGAAATGACTGAAACAAAGTAATTATTTTTAATAAAACTGCAAAATTACTAAGTGATTATTTTATAACACTTTACTTCAGAAAGACAACCCAGGAAAGAAAAGCCTATTCTTCAGATGTAGGTGCCATATAGGTAAAACAATGAATTTTCCTCTCTTTAGTCTATCATGACATCTTTTAGACAAGACCTAGAGCCAAGCCTTCATGGGTATTTTAAATTGGGAGTACTTTAGCCTGAAAGACACAACAAATATACTTAAAGAGAGATGCATTATATTTGTCATTATTATTTTAAAACAAGTGAAAAATAAATAAATCTGAAGTTTAGATGTGAATAAAAGAATTATAAACACACTAATGTATGCTAAAATGTTTTTAAAGCATATATGGTAACTGAATTTGTCATGCTCACCCCTACCCCCAAAATCTTCATTTTCATTTGTAGGTGGAAATATTCACTATTTTTTTTGGTAACTGGCCAGTGCAGGCATCCAAACCTGTGACCTTGGTTTTATAACACTGAGCTCCAGCCAACTGAGCTAACCAAACTGTGGTATATATATAGAGAGAGACACAACGGAATACTACTCAGCTATTTAAAAAAAATGATATCCTATCATTTGTAGCAACATGGATGGAACTAGAAACCATCATGTTAAATGAAGTAGGTCAGGCACAAAAAGACAAATACTACATGATCTCACTCATATGTGGAATATAAAACAAAAAAAGTGGTTCTCTTGGAGTAAAGAGTAGAATAATGGTTACCAGAGGAAAGGGAGGGGTGGAGGAGGACAAGTGGTAGACTAATGGGTACAAAACTATGCTGTCTACCCTAAGTGAATCACTGTGCAGTATATACATGTATTGAAACAACATTCTGTATCCCATAAATATGTACAAATGAATGTTAAAATTTAAAAGAAGATAAATTATAGATTAAAAAATTTTAAAAAATGGATATTCACCAAGAAATCGTTAAGCAAGGTTCTTCTTCTCTCTAGGAAAGACAACAGTCATAAAAACTTCTAAAACTATTCTCAACTTACAAGTTGTTAAATGTACCTACTATTTTGAGACTTTTCTCAAGCCTATCATGAAAGCTATAGCTATGTTGCGTCCAGCATATCTATATACTCAAACACACAAAGGACATCCAAGAACAGACTAAATGGCATTTGTGATGGTTTCCAAATTATGATCATACTCTAGAATTAATCTATTTTGACTGCTAAAATATCTAGTGGGATATTTTACAGATTCTTAAATAATAGTAAAGAAAAATATGTTGATAGTTTTGGGCTCAAACCAGTAGATAAGGAAATGTCATTATCAACTTAGAAGGGGATTCCAAAAATGAATCAAAGACTGAGTGATATCGTTTGCAGCTATAGCTGCTGTTTTCCTAGCAAGTCTGGAAAGCTGCTTTCTCTTTCCCCTACCTATCCTCTCCACCCCCCTGCCTTTTTTTCAAATTTGTTTTGGCATGAGCCACCTACAGACTTTATTCCTTTTTAATTCTTCCATCTATGTTTATAAAAATTGGTATTTTTCCAAACTCTAAAAGTCTTATACAGGAAGAGAAAATTTAAATTAAAACTTCTGACATTCTCTAAATGTCAACAAGAGGTCCCCAAAATAACTAATTACAGCTGTTCCACAAGTTAAGGATCATCCCAACATCGAATACCATCATTTCTGCCACATTTTATTTTTCTGATGGGTTTTTCTGACTGAAGTCAGTAGAAGGACTTTATTGCTCAGCTCTGTTTAATTAAACAAACATTTGAGTGCTCACTATGTGGGGACACACAAAGAAAAAGGACATGGCTGGCTCAGCCCCCTCAAGAAGCACACAGTCTTTTACAATCAGAACTCCCAGCTCTGATAATATCAGTTCTTCACATTGCCCTTCAATCTCTAGAGCGTGCAGTGTGGTTTCTTGATTTTGTTAATCTCTGAGTTTATTCACCATCATATGTTTGGCTTTTCTGTGCTATCATACGTGTAGCTAACTCCCTGTGTTAAGTTCCCTCCATCTGAAAAACCTGAAATTGTCTCTGTTACCCTGGACATCCTGACTGATAAAGGTATGAACGCTGGCACGTGTAACAAATGGAGGCCCACAGATATAAAATCTACTACATCTCTACGAGAACTTCATTGGCAAATAAGCCCCAAACGTAGTCTTAAAAATGGTCTGGAAAATAGTTTTCAGGTTCCCAAATTGCACAAGCAGAAATTGATCACTTAGCCATAGATGAGAACAGATGAGGAATTAGCTTCCAATGTGTAGAGCCCAAAGGGCCACGGAGAATATAGAACAAAGGAGTTCTTTTCAGATACACAATACAGGTCTAATCAAGAGATCTTGAATGCTTTCAAGAGGTCTTCACGGTGCATGCCTGACAGGATTTCATTATTGTCAGTGAACAATTATTGCTGTGTGTTTCCCATTTTTTCTTTTCTCAAATTAACTGTAGCTCTCCTGTCTCTGCCCACTATTGTATATTGGGTTATGCTAGGGCAGGATGGTAAGGGAGGGCAGAGGAGTGGAGAGTTAACATGAACTTCAGTTCATAGGCTACCAGGCAAAAACAGCCATAGCTAAACCTGATGTAGATGTTGGAAAGGATGTAAGGACGAAATGAGACTCCAGGCTGTTTCCCTTGAGTTGTGAATGTGTTCTACGTGTGGGAGGAAGGGTAACAAAACTACTTGGTTGCTATAGGAGTAAACTATGGCAGATAGTGTAACTGTCCACCAGGACTCATGCTTTCATTAGTATCGTACGACTGCTGGTATGCAGCTAGTAAGCCAAGGACTATGCTTCCTAGCTCTTCCTGCATCTCAGTAGGGACATGTGAAAATTCTAGGTGATGGAGTATCAGAGAAGTGACGTGTCACTTTGGGAAAAGGTAATTAAGATGTAGGAATGCCTTCCTCATCCCTCTTATTCCTCTGACAGCCAAAAACTGAGAATGGCAATGGCATAGGAAATGAGAGAGCCCTAAAATGGAAGAAACCAGGGCCCTGAATTATCACGTGGAAGAAAGCCAGACTTCCATCAGGCCATAGTAAACTGTTATACAGGTGATACTGTTTTGAACTACTGAAATGTTGTCACTTGTTTGTTACAGCATTTAGTAGTATCCTAACTAGTATACTAACACGGTGTTTTGCTTCAAAAGTCTTTCACAAGTAAACGAGTGCTAATGGGTTTGTTCTTCACGATAAGCAGCTCCACTTCAATAGAATTCAGCTCATGTGCAGTGAGGTGTGTCTGATGTTGATGGTCACAATGATTAAAATATTTGAAGATATTTTATTAAGGATCCTTTTGTATCCTAAGTTCACATGTAAATTAAATTGTAGCTCTATACAAAATAGCTAACTTATGTTATTTAGCAAAATTACTTTGTTCTTTGCTGTTCACTTCTCTTAACCTTTCTACATACATTTCTGCTTCTAGTTTATTTCTGTCACCAACACTTTAAATGTCTTGACAGCTAGCAGCACAGAATAAAAGTACGATTTCTTATCTTAAATATAAAGTCAATGTATCTTTTTCATATCAAAATGTCAACACATTACTTGCCATCTTTCTTAAGGTGTAAAGAAAAACACAAAATGAATTTTTTTGTTTAAAATAGTCAAATTTAACATACAGGAAGAAGAACTCAAACTTAAAAAAACTATAAAATATATATGTACATACGGATATGCTTAGAATAATATGGGATTCAGAAGGATCTTTCTCTTAAAATATATTTATAGAAGATGGAAACTCTACATTGTTTCTCTTCCATTAAGATACCTTGATTAAAGCCAACCTACATTCATTAATGTGTACAAGCGGTTTTCAAAAAGTTCATAGAAAGACTGGTATCTTTTAATTCTATTTTCAGAAACTTTTTGAAGTATCCTTGTATATCACATTAGTTGAACTTCGTGACCTATGAATTTAAGACCATCTAAATTTCTAAACTCGATTTCAATAAACACCTGAATAATTAAAACCAAAACAAAACAAAAACACTAGGGAAAATAATGCTAAGAAAAAAAAAATAGGCCCTGGGGCTAGATAAACAATTTACTGCCTTTTCCCATAAACATTTCTTCAACTAAATGAAGACAACATCCACATGACCACAATATAATTGCACTGTATCTTACAGTAAAAGAGATACATATTTGGTATGACTGTAGCTTAAAGATGGATGTAATCAGCAATTCTTGAACGGGACAGGCTTTATAGAGAAATTACTGTTTCATTTGTGCATCTGAAAGAAAACATAGATGTACAAGGCAGACACGGGAGGGGACAGAAAATAAAGACATGGGGCTGTTGGAACCAAATACTTTAATGGTGACACCCTAGCAAAAGGCACTCAATCCTGATGCTGACATTCTTGCCACCACCC